TACATAAAAGTTTATATGGATATGTTTCCAAGTTTGTTATACATTATAAGAAAATTACATTTAAATAATATTTTGCTGATTTTTAACAAATATTTTGGAAATTTAATGATAAAATTGTCCATTTGTGATGTGAGATATTTGTAATTCTTATATAAACAAAAAATACTTTATACCAATATTTCAAATACTTTTTAATTGCGATAATTATAAATGTTATTATGATAATACGAAAAATAATTAAAAATATATTAAATGAATACTAAAATTTATCTTTATAAAATAAAATTTTAATAATGTTTTTATATGTTTAATAATTAAGTTTTGCAAACAAATTATGTGAAATATAGTTTCAATAATCAAAATGATTGCAGTCCAAAATATAAATGAATGTCTTTAAAAATTTTGTTCAAATAAACAAATTATTTTAAAAATATAACAAAACATATTTACAATATCAGAAATAAATGTATCAAAATAATTAATATTATTTATCTAAATGATAAATTTTTTTTATTATTTGGACATTAAACATAAAAAATGTAATATTATATATGTTGTAATTATATATGTAAAGTTTAGAAAGTTGTGTTGAATAAATGTGAAATTGTCTATAATTTTATATATATAGAACAATTAATTATATAATTAATTATTCATAAATATTAAAAGTATGATGAAAATATTACAATGTGACAAATTATTTAAAGATAAATATGTAAATAATATTTAAAAATATACAATTTAAAAAATTGACAAAATACTATTATTTTATAATTTATGTTAAAGAATGAAAAAAATCTGTAATATGTCGAAAAATTAAATATGGAAAGACTTATAATTTTAACAAAAGTTTTAATTATGTTTCTTAAATTATTCACAAACTTTTTCACAACTTCTATTATTAAATACTGGGTAGTTTTATATTGTGTATAAGTGTACATGAATATTATGAGGAGATAAATAATCTCACAACACTAACGAACATTTATTATATAAAATGAAAATTGTTCACTTCAAATTGATGATTTTTTTTTCTTTCCTTTTTGAATATAACTTAAATAGGCAACAAATATCTTATTTACCTACATTTGGAAAATAAATCGCATTTGATACATATATAGTAATATATGTATCATTTTTTAATAACATAAGAGCACTAAAATTTGTCCATTTAGATCTTGAATTTTCGTCTTGTTATTTTAAAGAATCACACATTTATATGTAAACTTAGTCCTGTATTATATGCTTCTATAATAAAAGCACCATTCAAAACATGTAGAGAATTAGTTATTTTTTGCTTGCAATTGCACAATTGTTTGCAAATCAAGAATCGTCTTTTCCAACATTTCAAACCAAGAAACATTAGTCAACGAACATCGCAATTGATTCGTACAATTATTGGTTGTCACAGTATCAATTAAACTCGGAGATATTGTACTGATGTTTGTAGAAATATTTTCTGCTTGAATATTGTTTCTTGATATGGTTTTATCATCTCCAGAATCAGAAGAAGTCATATCATTTACTTCTATTTTGTCTTTTTCTTCGATGTTTATGTTAGAAACGTTTTTTTGCTCATTAAATTCTTTAATTGGTAAATGTAATTCTTTATCATTAGTTTCATTATTTTCATTCACCATAAATTTACGTTTTTTCGTAGGAGCTTCTACTTCCTGTTGATTAGACTCTTTTACTTTAATAGCTCTGGTTCGAGACAATAACGTTTCTAAAGCTGGTAACAAACTACTTGGTGGCTTCAGTCTTGTACTGCTATTGTAAACAAGAGCTAAGGCTCTTAAATCTCCCGTTAATCTATGCGCAGAAGCTTGAATATCTACTGCTTCCACCATTGCCACCATAGAACTAACTAAATTGTCAATAAGTAAGCAAGTTTGTTCAGTCAATACATGGTTAGCAAGTTTTGGAAAGAAGGTCTTGAGAAAAGCATGAATTGCCGGTATCCCTAACGACGATCTTTCATCTAATAACACAGCATCTACATAATCCACTGTATAGGAAGAACAAAGAAGAGATGCAATATGTTTTCTGTCTATATGTGTAGCAGCATGAACATCTAACCATAATCTAGGAAATAAGGCTAAGTGTAACGGAACACCTGTAATCAAATAATTATTATAAACTATTTTACTTCCCAAATTTTAGACAATAAATAATATTACCTTCAAACCCTAACATAGCACTCAGATTAACTAGTGTATCTGTCATACAATCGTTATTAATTGCTAATCTGCACATTACATCAATGAGTTCATGATATGGTAAATAAAATTCAAGTAAAGCATTATCATATTCTGGATCTACTCCTTTTGATGCTTCTAATTGAGAATGTGGTACTGCCATTTGAACCATTGGTCTAGCAGGTCGAGTAGGCATTTTTCCTGGAGGAGTAGATCTTCTTGGAAGATAAGGACCAGGTGGAACAGCAGCATGAGATTCTTGAAGAGCTGCATGGCAGTGTGATAGCAATGGTGCTAAAATTGAGATTGCTTCAGCAGGAACAAGCATTACAAGTTCTTTCAAAAGATCTATAGCAAGATTTCTCATATCTGGAGGATTGTATGTATTTAACAATGTTGCTAATTTTCGTAGAATATCTGGCCATTCTTTACAATTTGCTAATATATTTCTTGCATCAGGTCCATCTCTAGCAGTTCTGATGCATCGTACAAGTTCCACAATAATGGCTATAAGTTCAGCTAAGTCACCAGCAACATGACATGCTGTGGCTTCATGATACATGATATGCAACATATGAAATGCTTCCAGAGCCATACTTAATCCTCCATTATATACAACATAAAGTCGATCATCATCTGATTCAATCAGAATACTGTAAAAAATTGATTAAATATACCAATTTATAATATAAAAGCCAATAAAAAGTCATAATATAAATATTTTAATTTTTGTTTTGAATTGATATATATATATATATATATATATATATATATATATATAATAAATAAATATAATATATATATATATA